ACCAAAGAATGGGGGTTGATCACAGTGGCCACATGGTCTAAGGCATGAACTGTTTTCGTCCGCTCGAATTCTGGGATCGTGGGTTCGAATCCTACTCAAGGCATGAATGCCTGTATGTTTATTCTGGTTTGTGTTGTTCTGTATGCAGGTAGCGGCCTTGTGACAAGCTGATCTCCCATCTAAGGAGTCTTACCAACTGTGTACAGGATTAAGAAACTGAAAAGCGGCAAAGATTCATCAAGGGACAGTAGAACCATAGAAAGAGTCACGTGTTTTAGTGATTAAAGATGGGTTTGGTTTGGTAATTTGATTTATTAACCACCTACAAGTCGTAACTACAAATAATTATTACACTATTGCTGGTTTACACAATCTACAATCACTCCACACTAATCGTCACTGTCTAATCCCTTCTACGACTTATGGCCACAATGTTGCTCCCCAGGGACTTCAGAACTTAACTGCCCAAAAGAAAGTCAAAGTCAAAGTCACATTACGACTTATGGTCAGTCAGCAAGGCTTGGTGTCGAGCCCCATCTGGGGCTCATGATCAGATATTTATCCATGTCTGTTATGAAACTTCGGCACGGACCACGCACAGAAAACACAGCCCCCATAGTATAACGTGACGCAGACCACATAGAAAACACAGCTTCCTCTATTGTTAAGTGTTGGAACGTGTTTACGGAGGTGTTGCCTGGCAATGTGTCACACCAGATAAACTGTAAGGGGGAATAAAGAACAAGTCTGTTTACTGACCTGTGGGTTCTATTCAATTAAAGTTGTAAATTCAAAGGTGGTTGATAAGTTTGGTGATACGCTGGTTTTCTGATTGTTAAATCTCTCTTTATAAACTGCAGGCGTTATATAATGTCGAATAAGAATAAAACTTGTAGCATATGAAAGAGACAGGAATTTGACTGGATATGATCAAGGTTTGTAGTAAGATTTGAGGCTTTCACGGCGGTGACTCTGAAGAAAGCAGACTGCTTTTACCGGTTCTCACGGTCTCTTTGCTTGCAGATTTCTTATATATTTTTTCTTCTACCCTGAAGATGGAGGCGATACGTTCCTCCGAAACGTCGGTTAACACCACATATACACGGTGCCAAATCCCAGAAGACTGCTTTCTTCAAGGTTTGTAGTGCTGAAGGTTACTGAAAATTACGTTGTAGCGTATGGGTGAAGAAGAGTGCACTGTGTTTGCTGCATACAGCTTTCTGGTTACTTGCATACATCACCCCTGAAGTTGACGGCAATTAGTACCTCCGAATCATAAATGAACAACTACCGGATTACACGACGTCACACCCAGAAGGTGTTAGTTTTCATGTAAAAGATGATTATAAATTGTGAAGCTGGATTTGTTGGGCTGTTACAAGAGTTTTTAGTAAACAAGTACAGTTCTGGAAACAAACAAACGAAGATGTGAAAGAGAAATGAAAGGGACTCAAGAACGAAAGGGAAACGAAACAAGAAATAGATTAAGATCAAGGAATAAAATAAAGACAGATTTGAATTGAACAGGCAGGATGGAGGAAAGGAGAGACAGATGTACTGTGGAGAGCAAGGAGGGAGAGAAGGAGAGACAGATGTACTCTGGACAGCAAGGAGGGAGAGAAGGAGAGAAAGGAGAGACGGATGTACTGTGGAGAACAAGGAGGGAGAGAAGGAGAGAAAGGAGAGGCGGATGTACTGTGGAGAAGAAGAAGGGAGAGAAGGAGAGAAAGGAGAGACGGATGTACTCTGGAGCGCAAGGAGAGAGAGAAGGAGAGAAATGAGAGATGGATGTACTGTGGAGAGCAAGGAGGGAGAAAGGGAGAGAAAGGAGAGGCGGATGTACTGTGGAGAGCAAGGAGGGAGAAAGGGAGAGAAAGGAGAGGCGGATGTACTGTGGAGAGCAAGGAGGGAGAAAGGGAGAGAAAGGAGAGGCGGATGTACTGTGGAGAGCAAGGAGGGAGAAAGGGAGAGAAAGGAGAGGCGGATGTACTGTGGAGAGGAAGGAGGGAGGGAAGGAGAGAAAGGAGAGACGGATGTACTCTGGAGAGCAAGGAGAGAGAGAAGGAGAGAAATGAGAGATGGATGTACTGTGGAGAGCAAGGAGGGAGGGAAGGAGAGAAAGGAGAGACGGATGTACTGTGGAGAGCAAGGAGGGAGAGAAGGAGAGAAAGGAGAGACGGATGTACTGTGTAGAGCAAGGAGGGAGAGAAGGAGAGAAAGGAGAGACGGATGTACTGTAGAAAGCAAGATGGAAGGAGGGAAAGAGACAGATGTACGGTGGAGAGCGAGGAAGAAGATAAGGAAATGATGGAAGACGGATGTGCGGAGGTCATGAATGAGACAGACAAAGAAAACTCACTGCCGTAAGAACCTCACATCCCACACTGTTCTCTTTCAACAATGAAAGTAGTAAAAACATAACATCAAAGAAAAAAGACAGGGAGGGGTCGTCATTTCTATTTCATATTTTGGAAATTCCATGGTCTAATCGTGACCCCGACATCAAATAAACTGACTGAGGTTTGTGAACTTTTGTTCAGTCCCTCTTGGTACTATCAGCACATTGAAAAGGGCCACTATCGTTTCCTTTCTCATTCCTTCTAACTCGCCATTAACACATTCGCCCTTCTATTGGATGTCTCTGAAGTGTGGAAGTGTCGCCATAAGCATCCCAGCAAACATTAGTGGTCTGAAGCATCCCAGAGCCATCAGACAGTAAAATATGCTCATGACTCCCGAGGGACTGGGAGCCAAGAATATTTGTGAAATTTTGTTCAGTCCCTCTTGGTACTATCAGCACATTGAAAAGGGCCACTATCGTTTCCTTTCTTATTCCTTCTAACTCGCCATTAACACATTCGCCCTTCTATTGGATGTCTCTGAAGTGTGGAAGTGTCGCCATAAGCATCCCAGCAAACATTAGTGGTCTGAAGCATCCCAGAGCCATCAGACAGTAAAATATGCTCATGACTCCCGAGGGACTGGGAGCCAAGAATATTTGTGCTGGCGAGGCCCATCAGCATTTTTTTTTGGCAGTCAATCATCCAGTAAGTTATGAACCGTATTAATCGGTTCTGTTGTACTGTTCCCATCACAAATTATGCAACATGCCAGCAAGTGTGCCTTACCGAGAAAAGCCTCGTCACTTTCGAACCTTACGGCCTACTTTCCGCCACGTGTTTCGGGTTATCATAATCTCCGTTCTCATTTTGTTCCCTGCACGAGCAGAACCTCAGACGGCGGCTGTCTCATGTCAAACCTGACCTGGCCTTGCTGCATTTCGGATTCACGAAACATTTGTAGAATAGCATTTATTTATATTCCAACGCTTATTCCTTCCTCCATCCCCCTTCTCCTTTTCATCGCATATCCGTCTCTTCTTTTTCTAACTCTCATTTATTCGTGCCCATCATAAATCCTCTGGAATTTTCTTCTTGTGATCCATCATAATTCTTCATTCCTTCTGTATGTTATTTTATAATGCTCTCAATAACAGGGTCTAGTGGTCAGAGTTACTGGCTACAGATCCAGAGGTCCGGGTTCGATTCAGGGCGCTACCAGTTTTTCTGAGAAGTAGTGTGTCTGGAACGGGTTCCACTCAGCCTCATCAGGATAATTGAGGATATTTCTAGGAGATAGAGTCTCCGACCTAAAAAACCGAGATTAACGGCCGTGGGGATCCGTTGCGCTGACCACGTGACACCCTCTATCCGCTAAAGTTGGCACTAATTTCGCCGACAAGTGACAGTCGCTCGATCTTTATAATTCGCTTGCGGACTACAGGTCACGGAGTTTGTTGTTTGTTTGTTCTCAATAACAGGATCATATAGCATTGAACGCTAAAGTGATATATGAATTGGAATGGATCTAAGAAGGAAACTACAGTGTCCCAGCGCTTGTCTGGAATGAATTAGGAGTACCCCCGACTACAAATCTAGAGCGATACCGCTAAAGCAACCAGCTTGGTGAACATCTGTCTTAATGTTATCCTTCTGTTTATCTTCTCGGCCTTCGACCTATAAATTATGTTTCCCCACCAACCTTACCTCCGTCTCCCGTCTCACCATCGGCAAATAAATGAATATGTACAGGTCAATTAAATATTCTTTCCTATGAGGCTCTTTGCTCTGTTTCCCGTCAGAATTAATATGGAACTATGGATCTGACAAGGCCGCGCCATAGCTCAAGCGGTTAGTCGCTGGCTTTCCCACCGCGGTGGCCCGGGTTCGATTCCGGGTCTGATCAAGTGGGATTTGTGATGGACAAAGTGGCAATGGGGCAGGTTTTTTGCGAGTACTTCGGTTTCCCCTGCCAATCTTCATTCCACCAATTGCTCCACAATCACCCTCACCTATCATCTGGGGCTGGTACAATAGGCCAGAAGTGGCAGCAGTACAAGGGACTTAGTCCTACCCCACTAGCAATAATAAAAAAAAAAATGGATCTGACAAGCTGATCGCAGTAGTCGCACGGTCTAGAGCATATGTCGTTTTCGCTCTCTCGAACGCTGGGATCGTGGCTTCGAATGTCGCTCAAAGTATGAATGTCTGTGTGTTTATTCTGTTTATGTTGTTCTGCGTGTAGGTAGCGGCCTTGCGAGAGGCTCATCCCCCGTCCATGGAGTCCTACCGACTGCGTATAGGATTAAGAAGCTGAAATGCGGCCAAGTTCCAACATAGGACTGTAGAGCCAGGTAATTACATCTCACATACAGTTGTTACGATTCGTTAGAAGGATGATCAGCCTTGTTGTAAGCCTGCTACATACACGAGGCAACACACACAAAGAATTTAACGTAGAGTGGAATTCGAACCCAGAATCCTAGTGTTTGAGCGGGCGAAACATTTCATGACCGCGCGGCCACTGCGATCGGCAGCAGAAAGTAAACAGACAAATGTACGTCATGTGCTTACATTTGACTGCGAGATGACATAGATCGATACGTCGTTAAGTTGTATCGAGTTGAGATGGGAGAGAGAGTCCAGTTGCGACGCCGTAACGCTCGGCGTTCAGATCTGCACCCGAACTTCACTGCAGAAGACGCAGCAGTTGGACGGGCGCCGTGCGCAGAAGAGAAGGTGCTCGAGTTATGCACCCGCTACGGATGGCTGCAGGAGTCGAGTTCGTCTGAGTAAGAGGCAACTCGCATTTCCGTTGGCAGTTAAGAAGAACCGCTCTGTCGCAGCGTAAACATCAGTAAAGTAAGTTCCTGACTCTAAAGCAAAGGAGATGTGAAACAGTTGAATATAGGTGATATAAGGTGATTCTATGAAAAAGAACAGACTTTGTAATTTTCGTGAATTTATCACGATATCAGGGAATTAATGAACGTCGATTTCGTTAAGAAATAAGTGTTCGAAGTCATTTTATCTTCTATATTATAAGGTATTTCCTTTATAATATTAATTATACATATTATTTTAATACAAATATTATGTTTATGGATATTATCCATCGTCTTGTCTCTGAAAACCGACCTGTTTATTTTTCAAAAAAACATTAAGTTTCGGAGACTGGATTCTGTCTCCGTCTTCAAGTAGAATATAATCAGTTGGGCCCAATTGATAGAGCTAGTCTCTATTTCCGGATGGTAAGCGTTGTTGCAAGGCCGCTACATACACGAGGCCAAACAAACAAATTAACGCAGAGTGAGATTCGAACCAACGATCCCAATATCTGAGCAGACGAAGATATTTCATGCCTTAGACCTGTCCGGAGACAGGGGCTAGCTCTATCTGTTGGGCCTAACTGACTAGGTTTTACCTGAAGACGGAGATAGAAACCAGTCTCCGAAACGTTGTGTTTTTGAAAAATAAACAGGACGGATTTTAGACAGAGACAAAACGATGGATAATGTCCAGAAACTTAATATTTGTACTATTATACCATCGTCACAGAATTTTAGATCTTATAATATAGTGTGTTATTTTATTTAGCTGTTAGTTAAATCTACATATTAATATATGATTATCACGCCCAGTATTTAAAGGATATTTCTTGGACATGAAAATGGAAAAGGTTTTATAAAAAAATATACTGTGAGGGCCTTTGTTATAACCATTGGAAATTTTAGTTCCTGTCGTCATATTCTGAGAATCAGACGTTTCGAAAGTATTTCATTTGTGTCGCATTGTGATCGTAGATATGTATATGAGGTCTCACAGGCTGTCACATTTTACCGTTTTGAGTTAGTGGCCTCGATTATATTAACTCCCTTTGAAAATAATTTCGGAAAATATGTCCTTCAATTCGCAACTTCACATGTGGTTTCAGCAGGACTGTCTTGTACCTTATTGCTGTCCGAAAGTTATCCTGCACGCTCGATCAGTCGCGGGCATGAAGCCGCGGGTTCATGGGCCTCTCGCTCACCTGACTTCAATCCCTTGATTTTTTGCGTTGATTTTTGAAAACCAAGATCTGTGGCAATACAGCAGACACTAGAGAGGAATTGTGCAATAGAATTAAAAAATTGTTGCTAGTGAAATGAACACACACAGAATTTTTGAACGCCTGCTAGTGTCTTCTTCACGCGGAGATGAGTTATGTGTCCACAACATGGAGACAAGTAAGAAAGTTTGTTTGCTTTTTTTCTTCTATACAATCTGTTAAATTCTGGACTGTTCAAATTCTGGCTATGGAAGTTGAAATGAGAATAATTGTAACTTCGGGAGCAGGGACCTCAGTGTACATGTTCGTGTAAATTGTGTTCGTTTGTTTTGATGTTTATGGACCATTCTGTAATATACGGTGATAATAATAAGACACTCTGCGTGCAGTTGGCAGCGGTGGTGGTGGTGGTGGTGGTAGTAGTAGTAGTAGTACTAGTAGTAGTAGTAGTAGTACTACTACTAGTAGTAGTAGTAGTAGTGGCACATGGTACTCTAGTTGTTTGAGGTACTATGCAACAATAGTACAATAGAAACCCCACTATCCGGGGTAAAGGCAAATTTGTTCCTGTGCTTAATTAATTAAGCACTACATCATGAATACTTAAGGGGGAGTTGTAGATGAAGGTGAGTGATCAGCTTTACGCCCCAGTCGCTTTGTCCCCGGGGAAGAGCTCCCGGTACCCTTTGCCGGGTGGACCCAAGAGCCTATCTAGACGCTGTGGAGAAGAGAAAAATCGTTTGTTTCTGTAGGGAATCGAACACCGGAGGTCGAGCCTGTAACCCGTCGCTGTACCGACTGAGCTATCCCGGTTTCCTGATTAGGTGGGTTGTGGGGAGAATGAATTCACTCACTTGATCAGAAATCCCGGATAATCAGTGATAGATATACGTAAACAAAATTTCGAATTTAGATTTATAAAATCTCTGTGCTTAACTAATTATGCACTACGATATGAAGACGTATGGGGGAGTGGATGTATAGATCCATATCTTCTTGATCTCGGCACCAGCTAGGGTGAGTGGTCAGCTTCACGCATTTGCCGCTTTACCCCCAGGGAAATAAGACCCCAGTACCCTTTGTATAGGAAGTTGGGTGGACCCCAGAGTCGGTTTGGACGATATTGAGAAAATTCTGACCCTTCCGGGACTCGAACTGAAACCCTCCGTCGTCCAGCCCGTAGCCAGTCCTTATACTGACTGCACTAATAAAAAGATACCTATTTCTTTAAGTGTATTTTACTGGAAAGCTGTTGGTAGGGACATGAGTGCTATTTCTGAGAATTTCCTTGCTGTTTCTAAACATTAAAAAGTCAAAATTAATTGTTTTCTCAAGTATCTATATACATATAAAATCCCTTTTACTTTGTACTTGCTTTTTAAAGAAACTTCACACGAAGTTTATCTTTTGAAATTAGATACACCAGTCAATTTTCTGGACAAAATTCCGAATATTTCTTTCCCTTTTGATCGGGAGTATGCGGTATTGTACTATATTTATGCCGTGGACGCTTCCTCTACGGTTTATCTGAGTTCACGATCAAGGGATATTCATTTCCGGTGGAAAGAAAATACGTAATTCGGTCAAGTGTAGGAACAGGATTCACTCCATCTTATCATGCAGACACTGGTTCAGTGACCCAACATTCATCTCTGTCCACGTTTATAGACTGGTTAATGCCGGCTTGAATCGTATTGGTAATATTTGGCTCGAGAGAGGCTGGTAACCTCCCCCCCCCCTATTTTGCCTTCAATATTTGTTAACATTTTAAAACATGTCAGTCAATTTTATTTTAATGTCAGCCACAACTAAACAGAATAAAATATCTTAGAAGTGGCGTACAGTACATGTATCGATAGGTGTGAGGTTCGATTAATACCTCGATTAGGCCATGACCGCCTGCTTTCAAGTCGTTACGTCAGTGTTATGTAGGCTCGGTGTTGACTGAACTGTAAAATGACAGACAACAACTGCTAGGAAGCGCTGAGAGGCAAAGAAACTTACGGTGCGACAACTATGTGCCTCTAAGTGAGAAGTACCATATTTTGGAAATAAGAAATTGAGAAACAGAATCTCAAGACAGGAAAATTTTATGGCGTCATTTGAAGGTGAAGGCTAGACTTCGGGCTGTCGCGCCACAGAAGGAGCAGAAGTAATGGTAGTGGTGGTAGGAGAAAGGAAGGAGGAGAATTAGGAGGAGGAGAAAAGTAAAAAGATTAAGAAGAAGAAAGGGAAAGAGGAGAATTAGGAGGAGAAAAGTAAAAAGAATGAAGAGAGGAAGAAGAAACGGAAAGGAGAGAATTGGGAGGAGGAGAAAAGTAAAAAGAATGAGGAGAAGAAGAAAGGGAAGTAGGGGGAGAAGAAGAAAGGAAATGAGGAGAAGAAAAGGAAGGATGGGAATTAGGAGAAGGAGAAAAGTAGAAAGAATGAGGAGAAGATGAAAGGGAAGGGGGAGGAGAAGAAGAAAGAAGTAAAAAGAATGAGGAGGAGGAGAAGTAGGAGAAGGAGGAAAGTAAAAAGAATGAGGAGAAGAAGAAGAAAGGGAAGGAGGAGGAGGAGGAGAAGAAGAAGAAGAGAGAGCGTAAAAGGAATGAGTAGGAGAAGAAGAATGGGAAGGATGAGGAGAAGGAAATTAAAAAGAATGAGGAGGAGAAGAAGAAGAAAGGGAAGGAGGAGAAGGACGAAAGTAAAAAGAATGAGGAGGAGAAGAAAGGGAAGGAGGAGGAGAAGAAGGAGGATGAAATTAAAAAGAATGAGGAGGAGGAGAAGAAGGAGGATGAAATTAAAAAGAATGAGGAGGAGGAGAAGAACGGGAAAGAGGAGAATTCGGAGGAGGAGGAGGAAAGTAAAAAGAATGAGGAGGAGAAGAAGAAAGGGAAGAAGGCGGAGGAGAGGAAGGCAAAAAGAGGAGGTGGAAGAGGTGAAAAGCACTGTGTGTCTCAGGAAAATCCCACGGCCATTATCATAGGAAAGTTTACGTAATTTTGAACTCTGCTGAAGGCCAGGGCTGCCCTTATCTCCTGCTGGGACCCTTCTGTCACCCCCTGTAATATTTGTAAGTTACAGTCGAAAGGTCATTTACTTTATATCTTGATATTTTTGGATTTATATGCGATCGAAGTTCTTCGTGATAATTTTTGTAACTCGAGTCCTGCAAATTTGTTGTAACATATTTATCATATTTTGATAGCAGCATGTTTGATTCGATGCTCTCACGGTAATGGCTGTGGACTATGGTCTTTCAGGTTGTAACACCGTGCAGTTCGGATAGTTCCCGACGTTTCGGAGTAATATATCGCCTCCATTTTTAAAGTTGAAGTATAAGCCATTTAATCAACTGAGATTGACGCATGACTATCTGCTGTTTGTGTGACTTACACTTGACCCTGAAAATGAAGGCAATGCGTTTCTCCGAAACGTAGGAATTACTCCGAACTACTCGGCTTTACAACCCAGGAGACTGGACGCTTTTTTTTATAATGTTTTAAAGTATATGCATTCACTTTATATAGGACTAATATACTGAAGTCAGCCGGTCGCGGTAGCCGAGCGGTCTAAGGCATGTACTGTCTTCGCTCGTTCGGAAGGTGGGATCGTGGGTTCGGATCTGTTTTCTGTGAGGTACGAACTGAATTCTCATATACAGTGCGTACAATCAAGTGCGCGCCGCGNGGCATGAACTGTCTTCGCTCGCTCGGAAGCCGGGATCGAGGGTTCGGATCTGTTTCCTGTGAGGTATGAACTGAATTCTTATACGATATATTATTCTTATACACTGCCGGTGACAGTAGCCGAACGGTCTAAGGCATGTACT